GCCCGGGCCTCGCCTTCCCTCTCAACATTCTTGCTCGCTTTGTTGCGCCAGGGAGACACTGTCCAGTTCACAGGACAGCTGCTTTGAGGGTGGAGAAGTACCTAGCGACGACATCAGGCGTGGGGCTGGTTCTTGGAGGGAGACAGGACGTCGTGCTTACTGGTCCATGTGACTCTTCTTACGCTGACGACGCCGAGACGCACAGGTCTACTCAGGGGTACTGTTTCAGCCTGGGCTCTGGAGCTGTTTCGTGGAGGTCCACACGTTCCTCCTCGGTCTCGACCTCTACTGCTGAGGCCGAGATCTACGCTGGAGCTATGGCTGCACAGGAGCTGCGCTGGCTGACGTTCTTGCTCACTGACCTTAGTGAGTGGTCGAGCTCTGCGCCGACCTTGTTCACTGATAACAAGGCGACGATTCTCCTTTGTCGAGAGCCGCGACTGGAGAGCAGAGTGAAGCACATTAACGCCAGGTACTTTCTTATGCGAGAGTTGCAGAGGCGTGGATAGGCTCGTTTCGACTTTGTTGAGTCCGAGGCCAACACTGCAGACATCTTCACCAAGGCCCTGCCGCCTTGTGACCACCAGAGGTGTTGTGTGCAGTTAGGTCTCGTTGACACATGTTCTCGCCTTGCATAGTCTTGAGTTCTCTCCTTGCTTTGTTTATACACTTTACATATACCTCTGTGAACTCTTGAACTAGCCTTGTGGCTCTTTTGCTTGTGCTCAGAGTGTGTGGTGACGTTGTGATCAGGGCCCAAAATAGGTTTTAGCTCACTCTTTCAAATCAGGGTGGCATCCCCTCCGTACCCTGACTGGTAGGGTAAAGTTTCTCGTACACTGATTGTAGCAGCCTAAAAGTTTTGGTACACTGATTTTGGCAGGATAATATATGTCGTACACTGTTTCATTCCTAAGCATAAGATTGTACTACTACAACAATTACTTAGTTATCACTAAAGTGTTCTGCACTGCACCTACAAGCTTTACTACCAACCAAGTTAAATAAAGGGCCCTACAGAAGACACTAGTCAATCAACATCTGCTGCACTAGCAACTGCCTCGTCTGCAAACTGCTTAGTGCTGCTGGCCTTCATGCCGGAGAAGTCTTTGGTGGATCGCCTGAGCTTCTCCCCGCGGAATATGGCGACCACCTCATACCAGTCAATGTCGTACTGCAGGAGGGAGCACCGCATCAGGTGCTCAAGGCTTGTGTCGCCGAGGCTGCCGCAGTCCCACGTCTTGATCAGGTTCTGCTTGCTGAAGCCGCGCTCACATTCAACCGTGCTCAGTGGTAGCACGGCGACAGACTGCCACATCCGGACGATGTTGGGGAACGACGCACGCCACGCCTCGTCGCGCAGCATGTTCCCCAGCGCCTGATGAAACTCCTCGCCGTTGTGCTGGGAGAACATGGTCGAGGTAAACATCCAGAGCTCCTGGCCGGCACGCTTGTAGTCGAACCCTGGTAGTGCGGAAGGGGATGATCATTGGCAGACGCTCATACATACGGGTAGGATTGGGAGGCATTAGTCCACAATACAGGGCCGGGTGATGAGTAGCAACAAGCGCGATGGGAAACAAGCTGGTGCAAAGCTGTTTACGCAAGTCAATCACTAATACCCGCCCCATCTAACAAACACGCTTACCAGGCAGCTTGTGGTTGTACAGCTTGTGGAGCTGGCCAAGCCACTTCCTGAAGAACTCCAGCCGCTGGGTGTCGTCGGCCACATACGACGCCGTACAAAACAGCTTGGCGCCTTCGAGGAGGTTGAGGTCGCGCATGCGCCACTCCAGCTCCGCGTCCACTTTGCGGATGAACTTGAGCGAAAGCTCGAAGCACGCGGTTACATCACCGTCTGTCTCATGGCCTGGCAGGGGGCGTTCGTGCAGGGTGAATTCGAAGGAGACGGCGTTGCCGTCCGCGTCCACGCCTTCCGCTTTCATCTGTCGCTTATCCATCTTCTGGTGAGCCTTGATGAAGTCAGGCAGCTGCATCTTCTCTCCGCTGCCAAAAAAGTGACTAGGGGACTTGTCGAAGTAGCGCGTCTTCAGGCGCATCCGCGTCTGTTGTACAAGGTGCGCCACGAGGGTGACGTCCACCTGCACACACATAAGACATGCGGTCAGAAAGAGCATTGTAGGCGTGCGTGTAAGTACAACTGTGCTTGTCAGTTGGTTACCTGACGTTGCTGAAAGCGCAGATTGAGCTGGTTGAGCTCCCAGAGCACATCCGCGAGGAAGCGGATGAGCCAGTGGAACTTGAACGAGGTGACTACCTCGTACAAGTCCTTCTTGTAGTCCTTCAGCACGACAATGGCGGCAGGCAGAACGTCAAGGAACCGCTGGATCGCCTCGCCACGGGAGAGCCAGCGCACGTCGTTTACGCCCTGCGCCTCCAGATTCGTCTGGCAGTAGACGCGCTGGAGATTCTGAAACTTGGTGTAGTCCACGCTGCTGCGGCCGATGTGCTCGGAGAAGGCACGCACCACGTCGTCCACCATGCCGAGCTCGGGGACTGCCTCCGCCGCATCCTTAGCTGCCAATGCCTCCCTGCGCATTCAACTGGAGCATGTTAGTACGGTTTGCGCGTCACTGATCCTGTGCTGGAAAAAACTCAGAATCCAACATGCGTACCTGTGAGCGACGCAGTGAGTTGAAGCCAGGTGTGGTATGCGCAGTCGCAGCCTCGCGACTAGACCGTTGTTCTTGCCGGTCATCACACTCGCCCCGTCCGTAGATATTCCAGAAATCCTCTGGAGATCCACCCCGATTCCTGTAAGGTACTGCACAACAGCGGAGGTTAGCGAGGCCGCATCGGCACGGTCCACGGTAATGAGAGTTAAAAACTCCGTTACCGGAGTTACCCCTTTGAAGAATGTCGCATACAGTATCAGGTGCTTGCCATTCACCCGGTCGGTGCTCTCATCCAGAAGATGGCCGCGTTGAGTCTCTTGAAGGTAAGTGGAGGTTGCGCGCAGCATCTCTTTGAATCCGTAGCTGCGAGGACAACACACATGGTACACGAACACAAGTTGCAGTAGCATCTGGTCAGCTTGAGTCACGGAACAAACACAAGCGCCACGAACCCGCACTTACTCGGTGTAGTAGGCGCCGTACCCTCCAGACGGTGGAAGGTCCGGCAGTCCTTCCTTAGCCAGAAACCAGCACAAAGGAACAAACATTGCTATTGGCGCGTCAGCCTTGCAGATGAAGAGCGCGAGGTGGAGGCAGCGGATGATGTGCCGTGTAGCTGCATCAGTGCTCTGCCACCTTGTTAGTGTTGCTTGCTTCGCCTTTTCCGCGTCTGCTTTGGCCTCGTTTTCCAAGGCCTGCTTGTGGGCTCTGCTTGATGTGTGCGCGCGGATGCTCCCTAGCTGCATGTCTCGGGCACCCTCACCTCTGACGCCGTAGGCAGTGTGCGCGTTTGGATCCCCGTGCTTGATGCAGATGGCACATTTCAATGACGGCCTGCCGTTAGTCATGCGCATTAAGCGCAGCCAACTGAATTTCTTTGACCATTGCGAATCGAAAGTCGTTTTTACCAACTCATACTCAGCCTCTGCAGAAGCGGTTGGAGGCTTCGGCTGAGCAGGAGCAGCACGGCGTGGCGGTGATGCCTCTTGTCGTGGAGGAGGGGCGCCCCAGAGCCTCTGCTGCTTGTATGTCACGCCCACACGCTGTCGCTTCGCGGGCGCGGAGCTAATTGTGGACGGGGCTGCAGTGGCCGGCTTCGACGGGCCTTCGCCGCCATCGGGAACAAGCTCAAGAGACGGGTGTGGCTCCCGGGACTTTGGCGAGGCCGAACGCTCGCACGGGAAAACGGTGCCGACAAGAAATTCAGGGGATGGCTCACGCGCAGGCTGAGAGATAGGGACGCTATAGTTCTCAGCCAGCCGAGGTAACACACCGAGAACGGAGAGACCGTTCCTGGTGCTACCAGGCGGATCAGGCTCAGAGGCAGGCATTCGGAACAACAAACGAGAGGGAAACGAGAGAATGGCAAGAGCCTGAGAGACCCCTCGGGAATCACAAAGCCCAAGGCGCCTCAGGCAGCAAGGTTCCCTCGCTGGTAGGGAACTGCACGGCAATGGCTGCAAGGCCACAGTGACTGCCAGGTGGTGGAAACGACAGCACGTACCCCACCTGGCGCGCAATTTGCCTCCGTTGGCAGTACGCGATGTTGCGTGACGCACGGAAACTGGGTGCGTTGGCTTCAATGTCGCTCAACGGACCAATCGTAGGTGTGCGGTGCCATCCGCCCTGAATGTACGTTGGCGCGCCAGTGGGTGTATCCAACAAATGGTCCAGTGGGACCGTGGAGCATTTCGTCGTGGCGCGGACTGTGGCGGAATCCGCGGTACGGAAAAGTTCCGGTAAAAGGGTAGTTGAACCCCTACCCTGATACAGTCAGTGTAACTGGAAAAGCTACAAGAGTACTTTTAAGCGTATTCTGATTGCACTAGGGTAAAAATCTGCATACCCTGATTTGAAAAGGGTAACTGCCAAAAAGTGGCCTATGAGCAGGGCAAAAAGGGTAAAATACCCTTGAAATTTGGGCCCTGGTTGTGATCCACCCTGAGCTTTGTTTCTTTGTGACTGGTCTTGTGACCGTACACTTTTGGTTTTGCTTGACACCCCTCACTTAGACTATGGGGGTGTAGTCTTAGTGATGTGTGTTATAGGGGGTACAACTGTTAGGGTTAGGTTTATGTACCCCAACCAACCTTAGTGAAACCAACACTTGCATTCTTGACAAAAACTCCATCCTGAAATCAGGGTAACCAGGATGTTTTACCCTGATATCGTGGACCCTGGTTATAGCACAGCTTTAGCATCCACGTCATCAACTTCATTTGCCTGTTCACGTGCCAAGACAAATGTGTCAAACAATGTGACTACAAACGAAAATAACGGGTCAACACGTATTCAGATTATACTACCAAATGTATTAGTAATCGACAGCACTAAATCCTAGTTGCCCTGCATTACTTGGCTAAGTCAAACATCCTCTTCACTGCTGAATCTGCCCAATTCCTTAAGCATCCATATTGCGGACACAGCTGCACAGACGGGGGTGGGGTGGGGATGGCAGCCAATACGATTCACCAACCCTATACTCAGAGAAGAGGGGCTCGGAAAGTGGTATACTGGACCCAACTTACTGGTGAAAAGGCATGATGTGGCAGAATACTTTTACGGTCATTGTAAAGAAAAGCAGCAGATTGAGAATCTTCAGGACTGTTGGCGCTAACTTTCAAGCGAAGAGGCATGGCGCGGCAAGGCTTTTGAGGGTCGTGGACTTGTAGAGCAGCAGCTTGTTTCCTCGGCACCTGAAGAATCGTATTTGAAATGAACATTCTAAGGCACTCAAAGAGGACAACTTACAAGCGAAGAAGCACGGAGCAGCAAATATTTTTACCATCATGGTGTTGTAGACAAGCAGCTCGAACAGAAAGTGCAGGAGGGCGAAGAGGAAGAATGCGAGCGTGGTGGTGAGGTACAGAGAGTAGGCCAGGTGCAGAACACAGAGGATGGTCTACGGATTTTGGGGCACCTCGAAAACAGGTGCACGGGGACAAAAGGAGGTCTACTATTCTTTAGCCGCCCCAACAACAGGCGCGGAGCACAAAGGGTAGTCTACCTACCAAAGAACACTTACAAGCGAAGAAGCACGGAGCAGCAAAGTTCTTGAGGGTCATGGTCTTGTAGACGAGCAGCTCGAGCAGAAAGTGCAGGAGGGCGAAGAGGAAGGAGGCGAGCGTGGCGAGGTAGAGCGGGCGGCTGTCCAGGTGCAGAGCACAGAGGATGCAGAGCGTGCAGGTGACAGCTGTCCAGACGGCAAAGGTGCGACCGTGAACATCAGACACTGACGGACGGGAAAGGTGGATGGGGGTAAAGTGGGTGAGGAAAGGGGTGAGGTGTGTGTGAGGTGCAGGGCAGCGCATACATGTGACGGCTGTCCATGCAGCAAAGGTGTGACCATGCACATCAGAGAGTGTGACCAGGGGAAGGTGGATAGGAGGGTGAGGTGGGGTGGGAATGGGTGGAAAGAGGGTGAGGTGTGAGGTGCAGAGCAGCGCATGCAGGTGACAGCTGGCCATGCAGCAAAGGTGTGGCCATGCACGTCAGACAGTGTGAGGGGACAGGGGACGATGAGGTAACAGGGAGCGGGAGTGAAACAGCAGCAGGTGTGTAGGACAGCGGATGCTGAGTGTCAAGAGGTGAGATAATGCGACTGTTGAGGCACCTCAAGAACCGTCTCAAAGTGAGACAGCAGCAGGTGTATAGGACAGCGGATGCTGAGTGTCAAGAGGTGAGACAATGCGACTATTGAGGCACCTCAAGAACCGTCTCAAAGTGAGACAGCAGCAGGTGTATAGGACAGCGGATGCTGAGTGCCAAGAGGTGAGACAGTGTGACAGCCGTCCAAGCAGCCAGTGTGTCCAAGAGGGGACGCAGAGCTGAGAGAGAGGACGCAGAGGAGAGAGAGAGGTTGTGGAGGGTGCAAGCGTCAAACTGGTGAGCGGCACTCACTGGTGCGTTTGGAGTAGACAGCGACTTGCAGCGCCCAGAGGTTGAAATAGCCAAAGTATACCGAGGAGAGACGGGCAAACGCCACCAGCAGCAGCCAGTAACCCAGTGGGTCCATACTGCTAGTGCTGGTAGTGCTGATGCTGCAGGGATTGGGAGAGAGGTGGGAGAGAGAAAGGGGAACGAGGCACGACAGGAGAGGCATTGAGGAGAGGCGAGCAAAGCCTTCCAGCAGCAGCCAGTAGCCCAGTGGCCCCATGCTGGTAGTGCTGATGCTGCAGGGATGGGGGCAGGGATGAGAGAGAGAAAAGGGGGAATGAGGCACGACAGGAGGGGCATTGAGGAGAGGCGAGCAAAGCCCACCAGCAGCAGCCAGTAGCCCAGAGCCTCCGTGCTGGTAGTGCTGGGATGTGGGGAGGGGAAGGATGAGTGAAGGAAGAGAATGAGACGGGGGGGAAAGGGAGAGGATAAGAAGGAGGCCAGCAGCAGCCACTAGTTCAGCGACTCCATTCTTGTGGTGCTGCAGGGATGGAAAGGGGGAAGGGTTCGGTGACGGAAGAAGGAAGGGCTGGGGGGAAAGGGGGAGGATAAGGTGGAGACGTAACCCCACTAGCAGCAGCCAGCAACCCAGCGGCTCCGTGCTGCAGGGATGGGGGGAGTAAAATGAGGGGGACGATTTGGGACCTAGCGGAAGGGTGGGGAAATGGGGGGGTGCGGAGGTGGGGAGGTGGGGCGGTGGGGGAAAAGGAAAAGTGGTGAAAACGAGAAAACGAGGGGCGGGCTAGGAGGGGAAGGGGGGCTAACAGAAGAAGGAGAGGAGATCAGATGAAAGAGAGATGAGGAGACGAGAGGAAGGGGAGGAGACGAGAGGAAGGGGAGGAGACGAGAGGAAGGGGAGGAGACGAGAGGAAGGGGAGGAGACGAGAGGAAGGGGAGGAGACGAGAGGAAGGGGAGGAGACGAGAGGAAGGGGAGGAGACGAGAGGAAGGGGAGGAGACGAGAGGAGGGGAGGAGACGAGAGGAAGGGAAGAACACGAGAGGAAGGGGGGAAGAAGAGAGGAAGGGGAGGAAGGGGGCGAGGGTCACGCGGAGGGGGAAGGGAGGGGACTTTGAGGGGGAAGGGCGGGCGATGGGCAAGAGCGGGGACTATGGTGCGAGAGACTCTCCAATTCCCTCATTTCCCCGGGGCAGACTCCGAGGCTCCTCAAGAGAAGAGGCTTGTCTCATTGTGCGATGGGCAATCGACGATGGGTGACGGGGTTGTAGCACTGAGCATTGGCGGCACTGTTTCATTGTAGCGCAATGCGACGAGGCAGCGCAATGCGACGAGGAAGCGCAATGCGACGAGGCAGCGCTCGGATAGGGCCTCACCTGTCGCTACGCGGATAAGGCAGTCGGTGCGGAGTGGAACCCAAGCCGCGCTAGATTGTGGCACGGCAAAGCAGTGGGTTCGGGAGATTAGAGGTGACACGGGTGACAGTTGACAAGTGTGGACAAGTGTGGAACATTTCTCTGACGTGCGAAAGTAACCACGTTTGCGAGGTTCATTGAGCCAGTTCGCGAGCCCATACCTCCCGTGATTGCTGCTCGCAAATGTATCGTGGGATAACTTGTCAGCGATTTTGGTGCACAGATTACACCGGCTTTTGTTATGAGTTGTAAAAGAGAGTGCGCAGGTTAACGAATAACGATAAGGTGATTGAACAGAACTCATACAATGCACACGCTAGTATAGTGAGTAGGCTAGCTAGGAGGGAACTTCGGGTGAGTGAGGTTGGGTGCAGGTTTGGAGAAGAGAAAAGCCGAAGGCGACGCGAGGAGGCTCGGCATCGTTGATGTCGGCCAAACGTGCAGAGTCCGAAAATCGGGGCTGTACGCGAAGCAGTCAACCCCGATAAGGAATTCGGGAAAATTCCTTACACTACCCCCCACCCCCACCCCCCCCCCCCCCCCCTTAAGAAAGGTGGTCAATATCCGCAGTTCGCTTGCGTGCAAGATAATCACCAACAAGTGGAGAGTCTGCAAGCGATCTGGATGACACCCACGTGTCGTCTTCACTGGTGCGGTCAGTCCAACGGATTAAAAAATCCACGTGGCGGCCAGCGGCATCCAGGCGAACGCGATGCGCCAAGATTTTGGACGGGTCAAGTGTCGGTTCTGGTACCGGGCATGCCGTTGGTGCAGCCTGTTGCCGGGCGATGTCGGACGTGGCTGGCACGAACCTGCGAAGTAAGCTGACATGGAAAGCGTCATGGATACGCCAGTCGTCGAGTAGTAGCAGTTTCGCGGTGACAGGTGTCACCATCTTGATGATCTTGAAAGTCCCGCAAAATCGTGGCCGTAATTTCGATGGGCCGGGCAGTCGTAGGTTCTTCGTGTCGAGTACGACTAACTGCCCAGCTGTCAAGACGAGTTACCGTCGTAAAAGGTCGGTGTATTTTCGGGAAGTTGTATTCGCCTTGCGAATTGCGTTCGCAGCTTTTTCTCGAACTTCCTGGATTTCCGTCACGAATGTTTGTGACCGCGGGACTGGATTGTCGAGTGTAGTCATTGTAGGCACCATCGGGTCCATCCCGTAATTTAAAAAGAACGGGGAGTGATTAGTCGTGCTGGACGGGGCATTGTTGATGGCAAACTCCAACATGGCGAGCGAGTCTTCCCAGCGAGCAGGGTTGGGGCAGTTCGTCCGTATCAGTTGCTCCATGGTCTGATTGGTCCGCTCGGCCTGGCCGTCCGTTTGCGGGTGGTATGCCGAAGAGAACTGTAGCTTCGTGCCGTACTGCACCAACGTCTCCTTCCAAAATTTCAAGGTGAACTTCGGATCTCGGTCGCTGATGATCGCCGAGGGAATTCCGTGCAGTCGCATGACCGTTGAGATGAATAGTCGCGCAGTCTCTTCGGCTGTGATTGCATGTCAAACTTATATGCTATAGTCTATCTAGGTTGTAGTGGGGTAGTTCATATAGGGTACAACACTTTTATGTTTCCAACTTGTACCCACCTGCTTGCTAGTTCAGTCATTCATTCGTTCACTATTCTGACATGGTATTCTGAGCAGGTTCCCTAGTGGGAACGTTTTTTTTAGGGCCCACCACGAAATTTTTCCTGCCCTGCCCGAAGCGCGCCTCGCGCCCTGCCCGAAGCGCGCCTCGCGCCCTGCCCTAGTACGGCCCGTCGCGGCCCTGCCTTCGCTGGCCCGTCGCGGCCCTGCCTTAGCCGCCCGTCGCTGGCCCGTCCCGGCCCGTCGCCGCCCGTCGCTGGCCCGTCGCCACGCGTCGCGGCCCTGCCTTAGCCGCCCACTGCGGCCCTGTCCTGCCTTTCGCCGCCCATCGCTGGCCAGTCCCGGCCCGACCCGGCCCGTCCCGGCCCGACACCGGCCCATCCCGGCCCGTTGCCGCCCGTCGCCGGCCCGTCGCCGCCCGTCGCTGGCCCATCCCAGTCGCGGCCCTGCCTTTGCCGCCCGTCGCGGCCTCTACCATGCAGCCGCCCTGTCGCGGCCTCTACCCTGCAGCCGCCCTGTCGCGGCCCTGCACTGCTGCCGCCCCAGTCGCGGCCCTGCCCTGCAGCCGCCCCTGTCGCGGCCTTGTCCTGCTGCCGCCCCAGTCGCGGCCCTACCTTAGCCGCCCGTTGCGGCCCTGCCCTACTGCCGCCCCAGTCGCGGCCTCTGCCCTGCAGCCGCCCCGGTCGCTGCCCTGACCTAAACCGCCAGCTGCGGCCCTGCCCTGCACCCGCCCCTGGTAAGCACCCGCGCCGCCCTGCCGCGCCGCGCCGCATGCTGCCGCGCCGTGCCGCCAGGACCGAGCCGCGCCGCCCAGCCGAGCCGTGCCGCCCAGCCGAGCCGCGCCGCCCTGCCGAGCCGCGCTGCCCTTCTGCTTGCACTGCTTCTGCTGCCACTGCTGCTACTGCTGCTACTGCTGCTACTGCTACTATGGCTAGCCCTACTGTTCTCACCTTTGATGCTGAGGGGCATGCAGTTGACTTTGACGTGTGGATTGACGACCTGCAGCTCTTTCTTCAGTGTGACTCTAGGGATGGGGTATCCCTGTTTGATCACACGTCCGGTGTCTCTACTGCACCTGCTGCCACTGCTGACAGTATGGTTCGCTCGCAGTGGACCACTCGTGACGCTGTTGCTCGCCTTGCTGTTCGTAGTCACCTGCCGTCTGCTGAGCGCGCGCATTTTGGCCAGTACAAGACTGCTAAGTCTTTGTACGACGCTGTCGTAGCGCGCTACTCCTCCCCTGCCACTGCTGCCCTCAGCCGCCTCATGCTGCCGTACCTTTTCCCTGACCTTGCTGCCTTTGCCACAGTCGCTGACCTCATTACCCACCTCCGCACTAGTGACGCCCGCTACCGCGCTGCGATTCCCACTGAGTTCTGTGCCAAGAACCCCCCCCCCCCCCCCCCATGTACATCACCCTTTACTACCTAGTCACCCGCCTCCCTGACTCCCTTGCTTCAGTCAGGGACCACTTTCTCTCCCTTTGCCCCACCGAACTCACTGTCGACCTGCTGGAGGAGCGCCTCACTGCAGCTGAGAAGAGTATCTTAGCTGTAGGTGCTTCTCGCGGTGACCGTCGTGCCCCTTTCTTTGAGGGGTGTTCCCCTGTCCCCCTTCTCCCCTCTGTTGCTTCTGCTGCTGCTGTCGACCACGTTGGCACTGAGGAGGTCGGGGCTGCGTCTGCTCCTAGTGGGAGGCGCCGCACCAGCAGGTGCAAGGGGGGCAAGGGTGGTGGAGTGGACGGTGGGGGCGGCGGTGGAGGCGGTGGAGGAGGCGGAGGGGGTGGCAGTGGAGGTGGGGGTGGTGGCGGGAGTGGAGGCTTCGGTGGCGGCGGTGGGGGTGGTGGAGGCAGCGTCAGCGGCGGTGGAGGCAGCGGCAGTGGTGGTGGAGGTGGCGGCGGCGGCGGCGCTGGTCGAGGTGCAGCCGCGCAGCGTGGAGACGTTGGTGGTAGCCAGTGCCAGCAGCAGCCGCGTTCCCGTGAGACCCCGTCGGCCCAGCAGCTTCGTGAGTGGTACGCTGGGCGTGGGAGGTCTGGGGGTGTTGGTCCCTGCACTTACGTTCTTCGCACCGGCCGGCGTCGTGGGGAGACGTGTGGGCTGCCACACACTGCGCACCGCTGCTTCGGTCGCCTGACTGACGCCTGGCGCGCCCAGTTTCCTGACGCTGTTGAGCTCCCTCGCTGGGGTGATCTGCTTTGGCAGAATGTTGCTATCTTTGATCTTGATTTTGATGCTATCCTTGCTGCCATGTATGCTGTGACTGATAGTGCTGAGGGTGACTGTCACCTGAGTGTTACGCCCGACCCGGGCATTGAGGCTGCACCTACTGAGGCCTTGCACACTTTCACACTTGACTCTGGTGCTTCGCGCTCTTTCTTTCGCGACAGCACCACACTCACGCCGCTCAGTCGGCCTGTCGCAGTCTCCCTGGCTGACCCCTCTGGGGGCCTAGTCCTTGCGCACTCTTCCACGGTTCTACTCTGCCCTGCGGCCCCGTCGGGCTTGCTGTCGGGACTCCACCTCCCCTTGTTCTCTACGAACTTGGTGAGTGGAGCTGACCTCCAGGACGCGTGGGTTAACCAGTTCACCCCTAGGTCAGCGTGTGACCCACTGCACTTGCTCTCGGACGGGCCGCCACCTGGCCACGTTCACCCGTCGGCCTGGGTCGAGTCTGTACACACTGACTACTGCGTCTCCTCTGGTTGCTGCGTCTGGTCAGGTAGCAGCGTCTGGTCAGGTATTTTCTGCCGCGTCCAGGTCTAGTCCAGTGTCTGCCCCCTGCTTGTGTCGTCCTCTGTCACACGAGACTCTCCTTTTGCACCACCGCCTTGGTCACCCCTCCCTGCCTCGTCTTCGAGGTATGGCCTCCCGTACCCTTGTCTTTGGTCTCCCCCGGTCCCTCCCTCCCCTTCCTCCGGGGCCTGCCCCTACCTGTGTTCCTTGTGTCGAGGGCCGGCAGCGCGCCGCTCCTCACTCCTCTGAGTTCCCTCCGACAGAGGCTCCCCTGCAGACTCTTCACATGGACGTGTGGGGCCCAGCCCGCGTCCGTGGACAGGGTCACGAGCGTTACTTCCTACTGGTCTTAGACGACTACTCGCGTTACACCACAGTCTTCCCCTTGCGCAGCAAGGGTGAGGTCACTGAGGTGTTGATCGACTGGATCCGCGGTACCCGTCGCCAGCTCAGCGATACTTTCGGCTCGGACCTTCCTGTTCTGCGTCTGCACTCAGACAGAGGTGGTGAGTTTTCCTCCGACCTTCTGAGGGCCTTCTGTCG